TCCGCTGGGGCTGGGGTTGGCACCTGGGCAGAGCCTCTGGCGGGAGAGTGGGCCGCGGCCCAGGCCGCCTGCGCCCACCGGAGCCTAGGGCTGGGGCCTCGCAGCCCGCCAAGGCCATTAGCCTCCTCCTCGCCCCGGTTGGCCCACCTGCCCATCTGTCCCTCCAAGAACACCCTAATCGCTTCACCCCGCTTCCTGTGGGGGGCCTGAACTGACCCCGACAGGACTTGGGCGTGGGTCCCTGGCCGCTGACGCAGCCCCCGAAGGCTGTTTGCGTGCCGGGGTGGAGGGCGAGGGGCTGGAAAAACAAACAGGACCAGGGCGCCGAGGCTCGGGGTGGGGGCTGGAAGGAAGTGAGCGGAGTGGCGAGAGCGCCAAACAAAGCCCTCACGGGAGCCCGTCACCCCACCGTGACCCCAGGCCCGCCCCGCGGAGGCACCGGACTCCCGGGCCTCGCCCTGGAGCAGCAGGCCGCGCCGCTCTTGGGGCGCACGCCCTGCGCATCCCGGGGCTGGGGCCTCCGCCGCCAGCCGGGACTCGGGCTCCTCTCCCCGGTGCGAGCGGCCCGAGCCTGCGGCCCATCCCAAAGGCATGAGGGACGGCGCGGCCGGCGACGAAGCTTCACTGGACCAGGAGCGTACCAGCAGAGCACAGCCGGCCTTGGTCGGGAAAACGGGGCCACTCCGGGCGCACCCGGAGGCGCCGAGCGAACCCTGCAGTGGCCGAAGCCGGACGACCCGCGTCGCCTTGCCTCCCGCCTCCAAATGGGCCTGGTTGAGGCAGCGGCGGCGGCGGCGGGGACTGTCGCAAACAGCTGTTCCTCATACATATTTCATTACACAATCAGATAATGCGTCCCCCCACCTTCTCAATTATTCACAGATAAACATTTTCAAGACGTTTTGACATCTGTCTTAGTGCCTGCTATTAATTTAGTAATCACTGTAGTTAAAAATGTATGGGATTTTTGCCGTCGGAGCACCTCGTCTCCGGCGCACGGGCCCGCGGTTGGGAGCCAGGCCCTCCGGGAATGCAGCCACCTTGGGAGGGGAGCCGGCCTCTTGAACGCGTGGAAACTGTTAGGGAAGGGATTAAAGGGGTATCTGGTTATTTTGATTGCTTGTGGAAGATGATGGTCACCCCCTCCCCCTCAACGCGCCTGCCCACCTCTCTTCGTCCACCCAGCGCTCTGCCTCACACAGAAAAGTATGCAGCCCTTGGCGCTCCCTGGCACAGGAAATAGTTGGGTCAGCTTCAAGTAGGCTGCTGATTTCTGCAGAGGGGTGGGCAACTGTGGTTGCCTTATTTTGGGGTGAGAGAGCAAGAGAGAGAGGGAGGGAGGGAGCCCACACAGTCACTAAGAAATTCTCAGAAGCCCCCCCGCCCCAACAATAAACGAGGCAGCTCCACTCAAGCCGCTGACACGACTATTTAGCCCTGAGCCCTGTGGCCCAGGCAGAATTGACAAGGGGAATGGGGAAAGATGGAGGAAGGAAGAAATGAATTTGCACCTGCGATGTGTGCACCAGGATATCTGAGGCCATGAGAAAATGAGTTGTTTTTCCACTTGTGTGATGAACGTTGCAAGAACCATGGCTGGGCTCAGGCGATTTTGCAAAGCAGTACAGCCCGACTTGAAGAACCTTGAGGAATTAGAAAGTAGCAGTAAACTCGGCCAGGTCTCAAATGCTATGATTTGTGTTTAGGACCACTCTTGAGAAAACTATCCAAGGAGTTTGCATCTTTGCATCCCAGACATCATTCTGGGGAATAAAAGTTACACTTCGGGTGTGAGAGCGTCCTTCTTTCCCCCAAGGTGAGTTGAAGAGACCTTCCTTTGGAAACTAGGACAAAAGCTAATGTGGGGATAGGAAAACGTATTTCCCACGAAGACTGCATGACTCCAAAGTGATTTTCACTCTTTATTGTTCAGAACATCCACCAGAGCAAACTCTTAATAAAAATTGCTGTGGAATTATATTTATCCCGAGGGGAAAAAAGGACTCAGTGTTGGCCCCCAAAGACAGAAGGCATTCTTCCCTACTCCCACCCTCCACACCCTCCGTTTCTAGGGCAACTCCATGGGCAGAGCCAGTTCTCCCGCAGAGTTTTTGGGGTGGTTCATTTCTTCTTCACAAAATGAACCCCCTTTACCACTTAGAGGGTGGTTATCCGACTTGCTGGCCCAGAAAGTCGCTTTTCTTCTTTTTTGTTTAAAGGAAATCTTCCTGAAGTTACCCTCTTCTTTCAGACCAACGAGGGAGGAGAGGCTCAGAAAAAATGAGCTCCAAAGAGAAAAAGTAGGGGAAGGAAGTGAAGTGGAAAAAGGGCCATTGCCCTCAGAGCGCCCGCCTCTCCTGCCTGAACTGCCCACGTAGTTCTGTTTGCAAATGTTCTTAGCCACCTGACAGGAAAACAAGCCAACAGCCAGGAACTAGCCGGTGCCACTGCCCAAGCCTTAGGCACCAGCAACACTAGGAGTCCCTCTTTGCAGCCCCTAGTTGGGCCTGGCAAGAACAGTCACGTCTGCCCGGAAGTGGAGCAGCAGAGCACGAACCCATGCCACTATTTCACAAAGACAATCCATGTCATAAGCTCACTCATTTCATTTGCTTTAGGGAGTTGTTTAGCAAATTCATCTGATATGCAGGGTGGGAGGGGGTAATTGGGATAGAATTAGGAGTGGCCAACTGGTCCTTTGTGAAAACTACATTGGGGATACCAGGGAAAGAGCTAAAATCGGGGCATTCCCACTTCTTGCACTTTGCTTAGAGTTGAGTGCCTCCATTACCTAATAATTAGGAAGGTTCTCATGAGGAATGCTCTCCACCCACAGAATGTAAGATCAAAACCAAAAGGTCCCAGCGGTGAAATGAATCTTCAGGACAGAGAGGAAGCAAAATCCAAACCAATCTAAAAAAACAAAACAAAACAAACTTTGGGTGGATGAGGTTTAAGGTTGCCAGGACTAGACTTAAAACCTTGTATCTCGTGGGCACAGGGCAAAGTTTCTCAGCCATGTCCATGAAGCAGAAGCCCCATGGTCCTGGGGCCAGAGCCCCTGAAGGCGGCCTTCTTCCTATACACCTGCCTGTGTGGCTGGAGTCCTTCAATGATCTGGTCATCAAGACAACTGGTTGTGCCCCCATGCATAAGGATAGTTATCCCTAGGAACATTTTATTCCTGCCACACTGCTGTTAGTGCCCCCCTTTAACTCTCCCACGTGTCACCAGGTACAATTGCACGTTAATTTGGGGCAGTGAGGTGGACTCAGCTTGAGCCTGGCCTGGAATGTGCAGGAAGCCCTGGTCTGCATGAAGTCAGGGAGGTGTCCAAGTGCAAACAGAGTGAGGGACAAGGTTTCCCAGATTTCTAGGCCTTCTTATACACTTTCATCTGCTCCATCACTTCACCTTTGCAGGGCAGATAAGGATATCTCCGGAGGACATTGGGTCCTAGCACAACTCTTTCTGAAATTTGGATCCACGACCCCCCTAGGGGGGACTGATGCTGAACCGGGCTGAATGAGGGGCAGAGGGACTGAGGTTGGGAGACCACCTCTAGACTGACCACTGCACCCACCCACCACAGTAAAAATATCCTCCTGGGGCTCTGGAGCAGCTAGGGGAGGGACCCAGTTGTGGGAGCCAGGGCTCCTCGGGGCTAATGATAACACTTGCAGGGGGTACACAATTTGCCCTGGAAGTGGAACTCGGAGGGCCGGGTAAGTGGGAACTGGCCTGGATCTGCCCCCTCGGCTCCTCTTCCAGCCCCCTCTACAGCCACAGCGCTCCGCTGTCCGCCCCCACCCCACCCCAGAACCGCACTATCCTTTAGGGTCCTCCCTCTCCCCAGTGATCCAGGGAGGAAGGTGACCCAGCAGAGTGGCCCGCGGCTCTCATGGTGGTCAGGTGGAGTGTTTCTTTGCTGGAAAACCCACGGCGGGCTGGGCGCCTACAGGTCTCCTGGCCGGAGGGAAAACTGGCCTAGGGTATGTGCAGGGGAGGGGGCGAGTGGTGGCGTGTGTGCGCCCGCGTGTTCGCCTGCGAAGGGAAGCAGGTGCTCAAGCCTTCCTGAAATCTTGTGTGTTCTTGCAGATGGTAATGAGAAAGATGCGGGCTCACAGCTAACTTCAGGTCAGTTTGTTCGTAGAGGGCACGTCCCAGCCAGACTGTAGGTCGCCGCGCATCTCCTGCGCACTCGCTCCAAGTGAGGTCACCTCTCCTCCGCCCCCAAGCAGCCTCACAGGCCGAATCGTAGGACCTAGGCCCCTGCTGCCGGGAGGGCTGCGGCCCTCCAAGTTCACCCTGGCAGTCTAAGAGCCAAGCTGCCTGGGTGCCTCTCAGGATCTCGTTAGAAAACCAATGTGGGAAAGGAAGACCCGGAGAACTACCCCCCAGGTCCACTTACTCCCCGACCCCAGAGTATTGGACCTACCGACTTGGCATCTCCCTGCCGACCCGTCTGGGATCCGGATTGGCCGCGATGGGAGGGAGGGATGGTGAGTTGGGTTAGTACTGGATGGATGCAGAGATGCAGAAAAGGAAGGAAAAAATCAGGCTGGATGGGAATGAGGGGACTGGTGAGGGAGGATGGGGTAGAGATGAAGCAGGGGGTTGTTTCGAGAGTGCTGGCTTTTCATGCAGCTCTGGGGAGGTGGGTCGGGCGGCATTGTTTGCCCCCCATCACAGGGAAAATAAAGCTAATGATGTAGTAATTTAGGAGGGGGTGAGGGGCTGGGCCCAAGGAGGGAGGGGAGAGAAGGGGGAACGCGCGCCCCAAGAGCTAAAGCAGCTAGCTGTGAAGGCTCTGCCTGCGGCAGAGGCTTCCCAACAGGTTAGCCAGACGGGGATCCACCCGGCATTTCGCAGGAAGGGGGGCGGGGGGAGGAGGAGAGCAGAGCGAGAGGGAGAGAAAGCCTCGCTAGAGGACAGAGGGCGGGAGGGACTGAGAGAGGAGCGAGAGAGCGCACCGCGCCGGTTCTGAGGAGAGAGACTTACTCTTCCTAATGAATATTTATCCGCCGCTGCTACACGCTCCCGGCTTCCCTTACCTTTCCGCAGGTAAGATCCTCCCTGTACCCCAGTCCCAGGAGGCCTCCCGGCTCCGCTAGTTGGGGCGCGGGTGGCGGGGCGGGAGGGCTCTTGGCAGGCGGGATAAGGGGTGCGGGGGAGGCAGTCAACTCCGCGCTTGGAGTGGGTGGCAGGGCCTGCGACCCCACACTGCCAGGAGCCGCGTGCGTGGGCTCACCGAGTGGAATGGGTGTGAGTGCGCGTGGAAGAGCGAGACAGCGAGAGGATGAGGGGGGAGGGCAGCGGGAGGCTGTGCGCCCGCGAGCGCGCGCCGGTTTGTGGCGCGCTCGGGGGACATTTTCCGACTTTTCACTCGGACGTCTCGGATTCCTCGCCTTTGCCTTTCTAGGCTTCCCCTCCCCCTCTTCATGCCCCCTCCACCTCTCGCCACCCCCTCCCCCGCCCAGCCATCTCACCCCTACCCCTAGCTACTGAGATGCTCTTCTGCGGGCTATTGTACCGCTGGCGCGGGCTCCCTCGGACCGGATCCTTGGGCTCATAAAAGAGGATGAATAGTTCGGTTTCCGCCGTCAACCTCTACACAAAGAGCGCCCGCCCACCGGGTCCCCGTGCCCCTACCTGCCGGCTTCGCTTTGGGGGTGCTGTGGCGCTCCCCTCCCCACTCCCTTCTCAGGCCGCCAAGGCCCACATCAAGGGGCTTAAGAGAGAGTGCTCGGACCGAGGCGGCAGGTGGGGGTACCGGGTGGGACTTGATGGACGCCGCCTGCCAGCCTCACTGGGCTGGAACCCGAAGGCCGAAGAACCTTAGGGGCAGGGCGCCTTCCGCCAACCCTACCATCATCACCTTAACCGGCCCGCAGAGGGAGGAGGGAGGGAAAGGGGTCGGGGAGGGGCTGACAGAGCAACCGGATTTCTCTGAACCGACTTACCCAGCCACCTGTTGAGAATCCATTCGAGGTTGCTGGCTCCAGAGCTGCGCGCGAGGTGGACACACAAAACAAAAACCAAAGTTGGGACAAGAGGAAATTGTTTTCTCTGACCCTCGTCCCACGGGATGGGTCAGGCTCCCAGCTCTGTGCTAAGGTCCACACGACTTAAATGGCCACCTCTCTCACCACCCAGTACCCACCTCACCCCACGCCTCCTCTCTTGGTGGCCCTGGCTTCAGAGACCACAGACTCGGTGCTCAGGGTCCAGACTGGCAGCTCTGTAACCCGGATAGGCTTTCTAAGCCCTGCTCAGAAGTCAAGAGCAGCAGCGCCGTAGTTCTGCCTGGTCTTTCATGCCGCGGCAGCTCCTTATTCTTGTGCCGCAGCCTCTCCGGGTGTCCGAGGACAAAGCCCCCCAGGGCTGGATGGCTCCCTTCCCACTAAATCCCCTTCGGGGGTCATTGCATTACCAGCACCTGGCCCCATGCCTCTCCAGCCAGCCATCCGAGTGGCTCTTAAAAAGCTGCATACACCTCCCCACCCCATACACACCCTTCTCAGACCCCCCCCACTCCAGCCTCCCCACCCCTCTCCTCTGGTTCTAGCCCCCCATGCCTGAAATCCCTGCTGCCCCACCAGCACCTGCAGACCACCAGCCTCCTCCCTCCCCTCCTCCCTTGAGCAGTCGGTGGGCCTGGCCTCGGCAGCAGGGTGAGTTCAGCTTCCAGCCCCAGGTACCCCTTTCTCTCCAGCAGCGGCCACCTTCATTTCCCCACCTCTGTCTTTGCCCTTTGCCTGGACGTGGCCTTGTGCGCCAGATCAGAAGTGATCCCGGGGCATGGCTAGTGGGGCAGGCAAGATGTCTGCTAGGAGAAGGGGAAGCGAGCAGACCAGATGGGCACAGAGGGCCCCCCCTTCGAGGCCGACCTGGCCCTTTGGTAGACATCCATAGGCTGGCTCGTTCCACTCCTTCCTAGATCTGGGCACTCTAAGATGTGGTTCTGAGGTTACTAGATGATCTGGCCAACTGTGTGTCCCAGGGCTTGTGAGCATGGGTAAGGGAAGATGGCCCAGAAGAACTTGAGTGTGTCTTTGGGAGTAGCCGGCTTCCCAGCTCCCCAAGCCCAGTGCATTCATCCCTCCCAATCTAACTCTTGGGGGACCCATAGTTGCAGGTGCACAGAGGCAGTGGGAGGGGACACTCAAGTCCAGCTGCCCAGGGAAAGGAGTAGCAGGGGACAGAGAGGGAAGTCTGTGCTTTCTGAAGGCTGAAGCACAACTTCCACTGTTGGTTCTCCTGTTTACTGGTCACCTGCCCTCCCAAGAAGCAGGGAAGTAGAGAGAGCGTTGCTTTGGTTTGGGGTCTGTATTAGATCAGACTCAGGGAGCCACTTACTGTAGGCACAGGGCCAGGCTGCCCCGTGCACTTTCTTGAGGCCTCCCCAGGACTGGCAGCCTGGCTGAAGTGGGAGCCAGAGCCATGCTGACCAGCATGAGACACACTGCACTCCTTGCTGCCCCCCATTGTCACTTTTGACCCTTTGGACTCTGTGGAGAGTGGGGGCCATGGTGGTTTGGGCAGCTGAGCCTGCTCCTTCCTTCTTAGATTGCAGCACTCCCGTTTTGGTTATCAAAGATGGGTTGTTGGAGAAAACTAAGTGGTCTCCAGGTCAGAAGGAGACCAGAGGAACTTGGGGAGGGAAATGGCTGACACACCGACCTCCCTTGGGCAAGGACCCTAAGCCGTTTCAACAGCAGCCCAGATGCACCTTTGGAGGAACTGGGGTTACTAATTGATTTACAATTGGTCCTCCTGGGAGACCCTGGCCTTGGCTCCCCGGGCGGGCGAGATCCTGAATCCGCAAAAGCCACTCCTCCCCAGCCGCCAGCCAGCGCGCAGCTCGCACCCTCCCAGGTCTCCGACTGGATCGCTATAGCCAACACTACTCTGGGGTTTGTGCCTAACCTCCTGGGCCTGGCAGTAGGAAGTGCCGTAGTCCCAGCTAGAGCCAAACTTTTTCTCTTATTTGAGGATGTGGGGGGCGGTGGGGCTCATTAGGCAGAGCAGGGTGCCGAGAGGTGCGCACTCTCGGCCCCCCGAGGTCGCCTTTGAGCCGTCGGGGCGGCTTCATTAAGCGGCGCTAACAAGGCGTACAAATGCCGGGCACAGCAGCTTTCTTGGAACGCCGGGGCCCTAGCAGGGCGCCAGGCTAATGAGGGTCACTCAAAGGAGCTGATCAAATATTCAAATTTCCCCCGCACGCCAGGAACTTTTATGCGCGGAGAAAGTTGAGGCAACTGAGCTATGTTTACTGTCCGAAACGACAACTGCTTGGAGCGCGGGTCCCCGGAGGCGAAGGCAGGGGGCGGGGGGCGCAGAGAGGGAGCAGTTGTTTTTCAAAGGAAAGTAATCGGGGTCCTTGAAGGGCTTCGTAGCCTGCCGGCCTGCAGGCTGCGCTCCCCGGCGCCCTCCCTGGCCGTCCGCGCCAAGCGCCGCAGTCTGCAGCTTGCGGGGAGGCCGGGACTGCGGGCCACGGGGCCAGCCCACGCCTCCGCACGTCCAGAGAGCCGGAAGGGGCGTTGCCCCAAGATGAACCTTCCTGGGTCGCCCAGGCCCGTGGCGTCTGGAGCGAAGCTAGGCCGTATCCTTGCCTCCGGAGGGAGGCCTGCAGGCCCCTTTGCTTTCCCTTCAAGCGCGAAGAGTGCGATTGCCTCCGGCACCTCTGGTGTTGGAGTTGGGGCCGACATCCATCAGTAAACGCCCCGGAGGTGCTGGTCCGTGGGCTCGTCTCGCAGTCCAAACGAACGCGCGTCTGGCCCGCACGCTGTCTTTTCCTATTTGAAGCTGAGACAATGGCGGCAATTTTGTTTTACACAGGTGACCTCGGCCTGAACGGGCGCCAAGTCTCAGATGCCTGGAGTCTTGAGCGGCCAGAGGGCACTGAAGGCACCTAGAGGCCCTGCAGGTTGACCTGTTCCCCGCTGGCCTAGCCGGAGTACCGGCGCATTCCGTGCGTCACCCTCCCGTCTGGAGTCCTGCAGGCTTCATTTCTGGTTCTGGCGCTGCCCACGGCTTAGGCCCAAACGAGCGAGCAAGGTGACTTGGGCTTTGGAACCCGAGGTCCCGCTCTGCTCCTCCTTGACATTAGACGGAGAACTGCAGCTTCCCTGGCTACTCGAAACACACTCACCACCCCTAGAACGAGAGCCAGAGCGATAGAGGATGCTCAGCCTGCGCTCCCAGCCTCTCCAGCAGCCGGTGCGGCCAGCCTCGCCGTGGACAGGCCGCCCCACCTCCCAGCCCAGCCCTGGGGACTCAACTTACGGGCTCCTAAGCGGCGGGCGTGAGACTTCGGGCCAAAACCCAGAGGCGCTGGCGGCGGCAGGGCCGAGTGGCTGCGACTGGGTGGGCGGCGCGGTGCTCGGCTCCGCGGGGAGGCGCGGACAGCCGCCCGCCCCGGAGCGCCCGGCCGGCTCCCGGCGCACAAAGCTGCGCGTCTTGCCGCCGCCCTCCGCCAGGCTTGGCACTCGGGAGCCGCAGCCGCCGCCGGAGCAGGAGGGATGCGGCCGGTCCGCGGGCGCCCAGGCGGAAGCTGGAGCGCAGCGATGCCGCCGAGCAGAATGTTAATCGCGCCGGCCTCAATTCTCGCTTGAAGGCGGTTTTCGATTTCAGCGCTACGGGCCGAGCCCGCGGCACCTGCCCAGCCTCCCTCCGGCAGCGGCAGCGGTGGGGAGAGGCCAGGTCTCCCCCTCCCGGAGGCGGGGGTTGCGGGGACGGGGAGGGGACTGTTTGGGTTCACCCGCCCGCCCGGCGCCTGGGTCCCCGGCTCCGGGGGGTGGGGTGGGGATGCAGTTTCGGGGTCACGAGCTGCTTTCAAAAAGTTGAACACAATATTCGGAAACCCACCCGTAGGAATTCTCCCCCCACACGCGACACAATACCCACTCCCCTCCCCCTTTTCATTCCTTCCTCCCCCCCACCCGCTTCCTCTTGCTGCCCCTCCCCCTCTCGCCCTCCCCCTAGGAGAGAAAAGGATGGGGAAGAAAAGATGAAGTGTCTGTTTTTGTGTCCCAACCTTGGGGCTCTTTCTGGGCCCGAAGGCAACGGCTGCCTAGAGCTTCCCGGCTGAGTGCAAAAGAACTCGGGCTCGGGAGGAAAATGTGGGCTAGGGGAGAGACCCCTGGGATGGGAGCTGGCCGGGCTCCACTCTAGGGAAGCCTTGAGTTGCCCCGGACCCGCTCTCCGCCACCACCCGCCTCCATTGCAGCGAGGCGGAGTGAGCGAGCTGGGCCGCTCGCCAGGCCCGCGGCGCCTTGCGCCTGTCGGCCTCGGCCATCGGAGGCCTGGCACCCCGGGGTCGAGGCCCAAGCAGGGCCTCAGCTGTGATTTTAGGAGATGGGACACTCTCAGTCTCAGCTTCCTTAGTTTTCCCGTTTTAATTCTCAGTCTCTTTCTCTGCTCCCTCTTTGAGATCGCCAAAAGTAGCTGGACCCGGCGCCGCGCCCCCAGATCTGCATCGGAATGCAGAAAAGATCTTAAAAAAAAAAAGTTTTGAATTCCTCAATGATTTTTCTTCTGGAAAGGCAGCTTAGGATAATTATTTCAGCTTTATTGAGGGCAGATTAGTTGAAGTCTGGGGGCTGCGTTTCAATACGCGTGGTACACGGGCCGACAATGTGGGCATTGTTGGCTAGGGTGTGTGAATCCATTCAACATATACACTTTTTAACACCAAACCAAGTCCTGTCTAAATATACAGAGTGCGCCGGGAAAGACGGCTCTGACCCGACAAATCTGCGTAAATCACACTTCCATAGTTACAGAAGCTTCACAAAGGGAGGCCGGCTCAAGATACTGATTACCTCTTCTTAAAAAGCAGCCTACCTAAGAACAAATACTCACACCCGGCCAGAGGGAGGGAGGCCCTCAGTGGGCCTGTCCTGAGGGCCAGGAGGTTACTGGTCCTAACACAATCAGACATTATTATTATCATTTACAATTCGAATGCAAGAGACTTATTTGCTTCCTGGGGTGTTCTCCAAAGTTTGAGCTTTCTTCTGGTCTTGGGAGGCAGGCCCAGAGCCGTGGGTGGAGGACACACAGTGGACATCTCTGCACGATTCCACGGGGGTCCAGTGGGGCTCTCCCTTGGATCCTGCCCAACTCGTCTGGGTGGAGGCTAGAGTCTGGGGTGGGGGAAAAGTGATGGGAGGGGGGAGGACAAAGACTGCCTCTGGTGTTTGAGATGGGAAGAAGTGGCCGGCTGTTTCCTATTTTAAAATAGAGCCCTGTGGGGGGCAGTGGTCCTGAGGCAGAGCAGAGAAGAGAAGCAGTCCACTGGCATCACCGTCTGCCCAGGCCCTACACCCCGGGCCTGGGCCCAGCGCCGCCCTCGTCCCCCATGTCCCCTCGAATCCTGAAGCCTTGGCTGGTGCTGAGGCTCAAGAGGTTGGTTCACAGTGGGTCCCATGACCTCATCTCTTTCTTCCTGGCTACTATTAGTGTTCACATAGCAGAAGGGGTCAGCCCGACGTGTGCATCGCATCCAAGCCCGTCTGGCTCCCCCGGCTCCCGGCCTCTCCTGGCCCAGCAGCCCGCAGGCTTTGGGGAGGCCTGGGGGGTGGGGGGGCACTGGCCTGGGAAGAAAATCTTCCACCTAACGTCCCATCCCATTTAAGTATTCTGTGCCCAAGGCTTTTGGAATTTCCGAATCAGCTTCTTTGGGGAAAAAGGGAGAGGAAAGAGAGAAGGAAGAAGAGCCAGAGAGAGAAATGGGGGGGAGGGGGGAATTAGGAGTTGCAAAGATTTTTTTTTTAATTCTCTTTCCTCCTTTTTCCCTCCTTCCCTCTTTCCCTCCTCTCCCCCTCCCCCTCACTCTGGCTAAGTGGTAAAACCGTCCTTACGTTCTCGGTATTGATTGGCAGGGCTGACAGTGATTGGCAGTGGTTGCCGTGGCAACGCCACAACGACACTCCGCAGACCAATAGAAAAGCGAAACAAAATGTTTCAATGCTGCACTCACTGTGGATTTAGGGGAGATATTATGAGGCTGTTGTCATTAGGGCGATTGCTGTGGAATCGCTGAATCTTGACTCGGCGGTGGTTGGCTCTCTCTCTCTCCCTCTCTCTCCCCCTCTGCCTCTCCCTCTCCCTGTCTCGGGTGCTCTGCGCGCGCGCACCGGGCCCGCTCTCCTTCCTCCCTCTCTATGTGGCTGCGCGGGTGTGTGTGTGTGTGGATGTGTGTGGGGTGTGGGTGTCCCTTACGTCCTTCCTCCTCCCCCTCCTCCTCCTCCTGCTCCCCCCTCCTTCCCTTCTCCTCCTCCCCCCTCTCCTCTCCCTCCTCCTGGTCCTCTTCGCCCCTCTCCTCCTCTTCCTCCCCTCTCTCTTCCTCTCCCTGAATTTTCTCCTCTCCTCTCAGGTCAGTCCATGGTATTTCGCTCCCCCCTAGACCTCTATTCCTCCCACTTCTTGTTGCCAAACTTCGCCGATTCTCACCACTGCTCCCTACTTCTGGCGAGGAGCGGCGGCGGGAACGGTGCGGGCGGCGGCGGCGGCGGTGCGGGCGGCGGCGGCGGCGGCAGCGGCAGCGGCGGCGGGAACCGTGCGGGAGGCGGCGGTGCTGGCGGAGCAGGCGGCAGCGGCGGCGGCTCCAGGGCCCCCCCGGAAGAGTTGTCCATGTTCCAGCTGCCCACCCTCAACTTCTCGCCGGAGCAGGTGGCCAGCGTCTGCGAGACGCTGGAGGAGACGGGCGACATCGAGCGGCTGGGCCGCTTCCTCTGGTCGCTGCCCGTGGCCCCCGGGGCGTGCGAGGCCATCAACAAACACGAGTCGATCCTGCGCGCGCGCGCCGTGGTCGCCTTCCACACCGGCAACTTCCGCGACCTCTACCACATCCTGGAGAACCACAAGTTCACCAAGGAGTCGCACGGCAAGCTGCAGGCCATGTGGCTCGAGGCGCACTACCAGGAGGCCGAGAAGCTGCGCGGCCGCCCACTCGGCCCCGTGGACAAGTACCGCGTGCGCAAGAAGTTCCCGCTGCCGCGCACCATCTGGGATGGCGAGCAGAAGACGCACTGCTTCAAGGAGCGGACTCGGAGCCTGCTGCGGGAGTGGTACCTGCAGGACCCCTACCCCAACCCCAGCAAGAAACGCGAACTGGCGCAGGCCACCGGCCTCACTCCCACACAAGTAGGAAACTGGTTTAAGAACCGGAGGCAGCGTGACCGCGCCGCGGCGGCCAAGAACAGGTCAGTTGGCGGGGTCCGCGGCCTGGCCACAGCCTCCGGGCCGGGGGTTGGGGTGTGAAGGGATAGAGGTAGGGAAAGGAGCCAGGGTCCAAACAGGAGTGGGATGGGGCGAGCGGGACCTTTTAGGCATCGGCGTCGGGCGCCGGAAGAGCCGCTGCTGCCCGGACACTTGCAGAAAGTTTCTATGTACCCTGGGCTCCTGGATGTGGAGGCGGGCTGTGGGGATGCTCCTGGCTGTGGGAGTGGGAGACTGTTATGTGGGCGCAGGCGGTCCCCAGTGGCCTCAGTCCCCGCCCTCCAGGGGTCCCCGGTGTCTGGGATCCTCCGCTGCACCCTGGCCCTCCTCAATCCCGGCCCCAACGGGCACTCTCCAGGCCAGGAGATGGAAAGAGAGTACTACTTGCCATCCGATTGTTGTTTCCCTGTGCTGGGGGGGAAAAAAAAGGGACTCCACAAACCTCAGGGACAGCAAAGTGAAACTGGGGCCTTGTCACAAAGGGAAAGGCCTGAGGAGACCACCGCAGCAGGCCTCAACCTGTGCGTGGCCTGACCCCCCCTAGCAGGAGAGTCAGGCGGCAATGGAGAGGCCCACTGTACCTGTGTGTGTGCACGTGCCCCACACCATCCAAGAAACACCCTGGCAGCTGAATTGGGTTGGTGGTCAGGAGCCACCTTGCTGTGGGTGAGTTTGCCACAAAGTCGCAAAGTCATCATAGGATAGGGCTTGAGGACAACAGGGAGAAAAGGAAGTGGGGAGGAGAGGGACAAGGCAGGGAGGAAGTGGGGTCATCCACCCCAGCGTTTTGGAACTTGTGTCTTCCCCAGCCAGGACTTCTCCCCGACCTGCTCTGCCCCAGCAGGCTTGGCCACTGACAGCTGTGGGTAGCTGGGAGTATGTAGTTTCTGGAGTGGGTTGGGTTTTAGTGTCTTAGGTCTGGACGGGTGACACTCTGGGCCCTGCCTATGGAGTTCACTTTTCGCCCAAGGAGGGGAGTGCCCAGAGCCGGGCAAAACCTCCTGGAGTCAGAACCACGGACACTGGGTTTAGACGGCCGGTGTGGATCCTACAGGGATCCTGCTTCGTGCCCCTCTCCCTCCAGCCATCGCCAGCACCCTTTTCTCTCCCCCTCCTCTTTCCCCTTGGTGCCCTGGCCTGGCCCTTGGTCCGGATCTTCCCCTGCTTCCTCCCAGGAGGGATCCAGGGAGCAGAGCCTGTGTGGGAGAAAGCGGTGGGGCAAGAAACCCGTACCTCTCTGGGTTTGCTGGAGCAGGGGCAGGAGGCCCTGTGGGAATCCGATTACCCTGCAGGCAGCGACCTTAACCAGGAGACCCCCCCCCCCAGAGCCTGCGGAGAAAGGCCGCCTGGTCCATCCCCAGCCCACATCCAACTTCGGCCGCACTGGGGCTCTGCGCCTTTTCGCTGCGCGCCCAGGCCTCACCGGCGGCCCGGCTCCGGTGCTGCCTGTCGGCAGAGGCCCACCCCGCATCCCGGAAGCCACGGGAAGCAGCCGAACACCGGGACACGGGTTGGGGAGGCTGAGCGGCGGGAACTATGGGCGCGAGTGGGCAAGATGAATGGTGAGAAGGGAGTCGGGGAAGGCGGCGAGGCGCGCGGGCCGGGGGTGGTCGGTGAGCGCGGCGGCGGCGGGCCGAGCGTCAGGCCGGGCGCGGCTGTCTCTCTCTGCAGGCTGCAGCACCAGGCCATAGGACCAAGCGGCATGCGCTCGCTGGCCGAGCCCGGCTGTCCCACGCACGGCTCGGCAGAGTCGCCGTCCACGGCGGCCAGCCCGACCACCAGCGTGTCCAGCCTGACGGAGCGAGCGGACACCGGCACCTCGATCCTCTCGGTAACCTCCAGCGACTCGGAATGCGATGTATGATACCAAGGCCGCCCTCCCCCTCCCTCCCCTCCTCCCCCTTCTCCTCCCCTCCTCTTCCTCCTCCTCCTCCTCCTCCATCCCTAGAATGAGCCGAAATCAGGATACACAACCATACCCGTACATACGTCCACACACTCCCGCCCCGGCCAAAAAATATACACACAAACCGAGGAAAATAAGTAATTAACTACAAACTGTCGAGCGACCCCGGCCACGATCTACACGAGCTACCGCGACGCCCACAGACGGTCACCAAGGCTGATGTTGCGGGCAGAAAACATTAAAAAAAAAAAAAAAAGAGGTGACAATTGTATCCTTCCTGGGACAAGCACGGCCTCTCCTTTCGGTTCCCACGGACCTGGCACCCCACTTGCATGACGATTTATTTGTATCTGGGAAAATATTCTCTCTAGTTTAAAACGGTTTAAAAAGAGTCCGACTATACAAAAACCAACCACCACCGCCACACTGAAAAGGCGACAAAACGACAAAGTAACACAGACAAAAAAAAAAAAAAAGACAAAACCTGCCTACTCCGTTGGTTCTGAATTTGTTTTTAAAAGAAAGACAAAAAAAAAAGAGAACTCTTTGAGAGGGAAATAGCAAATGTTTCACGCCTTTTGTTGCTCTCTCTCTTTTCCTTTCTGTCTCTTTCCTGTTTTTAAGTCCAAGTATCGGTCCAACACGATGCACTCTGTTTTTTGTTCAGCAGACAATCATTTTCTTCCTAAGCACCTTTTTCTCTCCACTCTGTCACTGCCTGTGTGGGTACTGGTTATAAATGTGGAAAAAGAATAGTTATGACTGTAACAGATTTTTATTTTTATTTCAAAATTTTATATGAATTATGTATATCTTAATGATCGGTCATTTTCCCAGTTTGTAATATATGTGTAGAAATTGCCTGTATATGATATTGCTTTTTCTCCTCTCCCTTTTCTCTTGCTTTCTCTTTTCTCCCTTCTTCTTCCTCCCTCCCAGGCTCACCTGCCCCTCTCCTTTCGGGCGTTCCCCCTCCCACTGGGGTCCTAGGCTCAGTTTGGCAGCCTGGGCAAAGCCCAGGACACGCTGGGTGGGGAAGGGAGACCCTGTGGCTAGCGAAAGCGGGAGAGTGAGAACGTAGTATTCTTATGCAAAAGCTCTTTCAAGTATTTCTTAGCTGCCCTGGAGGTATCTCTCGCTCCCCCGTAGGGCGCTTTTACTGTTATCTTAACTGCGTGTTTATCTATATGTAAAAACTTTCTAAAGCAAATACAGTATTCTCCATTTTCTTATCACTCCCACTGACTGGTGTTTTTTGTTCCTCTCTGGACCTCAGCCTTGGAGGAGCAGCAAGCCTGGCCTGGGTTTCCAGGCTGGCTTAGCGGCGGCATGGGTGCTTCAGACAGCCTTCCCAGGCTGGGGCTTGGGTGGGAAGCTGAACAGAGGCCCTTCAGGGAAAAGCAAAGGCACTGTGGGGAGGGGACTACCGGCAGGGCCGCTGCATGCCCGGGGTCTGGGACCCATAGCCTGCCACAGCCCTGGTGGGTGTTTGGCCAAGTATTGGACATCTCTCCATTGTTATTGCTGTTGTTGTTTAAGAGGAGGGGGAGACCAACAAGGTCTCACAGGGGCTGTCTTCTTCCTTCTGCGGGGAGGGAGCGGTAACTGTGACTGGGGCAGAGGATGGGCAGAGCAAGGGAGGGGGAAAGCAGGTGGTTTGCAGAGGTGGAGGGCCTGCACTCCGGGTGGACAGTGGCCGCCTGTCCTCCTGGCTGCTCCTGGGTGAGCCTCTCACTGGCTGTTGGCTTCTTCTTCACTTCCCTGATATTGTTTCCCAGCTTTGGGGATCAGCCGGAGTCCCTTGAGCCCCCTAACATTTTGCAGTTGTTCTATACTTTTAAATGAAAGCTGGGAGGAAAATAAAAAGAGAGAGAGAGATTGCCACCTCTTACTCTCTAAGTTTCCCCTGGCCCCAGGCCTCCCCAACGGGGATGGGCTGCTGGAGGCACCTTCACCAATGTGGACCAGGGCTGGCCTGTGCCTACGAAAGAGCCAAAGAAGTAATTTCAGAAAATTTGCATTCACTTGAAAGTCCAATTTCCAGAGTTGGGAGGATTAGGGAGAAAGGTGCCTGAAATTTTGCACTGGTTTCCAAACTAATTTTGACCTCTGAGATTTCCTTTTGTCGCCAACCCAGCAGCACCAGGGGTTCCTGTGGGCTAGGGCTGGGCAGGGTGGTGGCCTGGACATACCTGGACCCAGAGATGGCATGGCAGAATCTCTCCCTGTGCTCCTGGCCCTGGGTGAGCATCCCTGGAGCTGGCTCATTCCTGGCAGAATCAGAGTTTAGGGGAGGTGCTGTGTGTGCTGTGCCCAGCTGGAGCCTCTGACCTGGGAGGAGAGGCTCTGTTGAATATTCCCAGTCATGTCCACTTGCTTAGAGCCTTGGCCTCTAAATCCAAAGAGGCTACCTCCATGGAATCTGGGTGAATCCATTTTGGCCAGTTCATGGGAGATGAAGGATGGCAGGAGAGGGCTAACTGTTGATGGACCCTGGGCAAGGGACACCTAGGAACTGGTACCTTTCTCAACATCGCTGGTGGAGAAGGCAGGTTTGGGGTGCCTGGTGCCCACTCCCCCACTGCAGAAGATGGGACCAGAGTGGACAGCAGCCTTCAGCCAGGGCACTACTGGACGATGCCGCTCTATGTTGCTCTCCATCACTTAGGTTTAGGTGATGTCTCCACCCAGCTCTGCACAAATACTAACACTGAATTCTCTGCCCCTTCTGACCTCACTTGCATGGTCCCTGTGGGAGAGATACGTGTGCTTACTGTGGGTGGGTGTGTATGTGTGTAACTCTTAATGCTGAGGCTTCAGTCAGTTCATCCAGTACAAATGGGTGTGGGGGGAGTTGAAAGCGAGGGGAGATTAATTTGGTACCAGCGAGTGCCATGTATGTTTTCAGTATATTGCCTAGTATAGGTAATGTATGTGGCCCGGGCAGTGTACCCATGGCCAGTTCTGCAAGGTGCATTGGGGTACCACAGCACCCTGTGGGTTCAGCATCTTTCTGTGCAGTGGATGTGGGTCTTGGGGCCTCATTCTGGTGTGGGCCTGGGTGGATTCCCTTTCTGACAGATCACAGGGCTGGTCTTCAAGCCCTGCAAGACCCAGAGGATTCATTGACTAGAAGGCAGAGGAGAATTGGGCTCTCTTGGTTTTCCCTGCTCAACCCTGGGCATGGGAGGGAAGATTTGGCCTCTGCCCCTTTTAACAGCAGAGTGAGGGGAAAGTCCCCTTCCGGGCCAGATCTGGCCTTTTTCCACCCCCTGCCCACTCTCCTTCCTTTAGAGCCACGGTCAAGGCCGTGGGCTCCCCCCCACCCCCCGCCCCAGGAGTCCCAGGGAGCAGAGTGCCAGGACCAGCCCAGGAGACTCCTGGCGCAGTCCAGCATCTTGGGAGCGGTGCGGGTGATGCCAGGGCCTGGGGAAGGTGTGCTCCCACATGTACCTGGCTCAAGTCACAGCCACTCCAGCAGCAGCCGGCGTTTGACTCCTTCCTCTCCTGCGGACCACGCTTGGCTCACCGTATGCAAAGCTGCCCTGCGCGCACCACACTTAAATTCCCCAGGGCCGCAGCCTGTGAGCTCTGACGCCCAACTTCCCAGCGAGTTGAGGCGTCTTGTAAGCCTGGATCTGAGGGGTTTGGGGAGTACCGGCCAATTTGGCCCTATTCCTTTCGGGCCTGCCTTTCTCCCAGGAAAACTGCGGCAACCCATGATTTACATCGGAAATCTGAATGGGCTAGATGGGATGTGCAACGGAGAAAACGTGTGTCCGAGTGGGCAAGCCTTGCAACCCTCCAGCTTCAGGAAAGAGGCCACTCTACTCCATTCCGGCGTGCCCACTCAGCCCCGCCCTCCTCCTCCGAAAACCCTTCTTCCCTGCCCCGGGCCGGCCCGGACGGAGCCCCCCCTGCGCGCCACCTCTCTGTTTGTCCTCGTGGTAAACTGCGGAACCGCCTGCCCAGTGCCAGCACAGTTGATTATCCCCGGCGAGACGCACAATTGATTAAAATGAAATGACCCGGAAGCTGCCACGGCGCAGGGCGGGGACGCCGATCAATGGTGGGGCTAGAGGCCCCCGGAGCCCGGCCAGTCCGGCCTCCAAGCAGTGAAACTAGCATGGGCTGGCCTAATGTTAGGTATGGGGCGGAGGCGGGGGGCGGGGGGGGGGCGAGGGGCTGCAGGGAGCGGAGTGGGGATAAGCCCAGCCTGGCCTGCCTTTGCGTACCTGCAGCCCTCCACCATCCAAGCTTCCTCTGAAAGCAGCAGGGGACAGCCTGGCACTTTGCGGACTCAGTACCCCGCCCAGGTCAGCAGAGCACACACCGTCCTAGGCCCGAGGTCCCAGCCTCTCCTCCAGCTCCCCAGTCTCCTCTTCCTCCGTGGCCTCTAGGTCCCTGCCGAGGCCTTTGTGTGGCCATCACCTGGAGCACCGGCTGCCGCCTCCTCCGGGGCTTTCCCTCACCTCCTCCCTCTCCGCTCCTCCTCCTCTGACCCCAGACCCAGACCCCAGAGTAGGCCGAATTGCCCCAGCCGGTGTCAGACGCCCCCCCCCCCCCGCCGGGTTCTCACTCTCAGCCCCCACTCCCTGTTCCCGCTTCCCACCTTCCTGGCCTTTCCGGCCCCAGCTGAGCGGAGCTCCCCGCCCCAGTGTGCTGTCTGGGCGGGCGTCGGACTGGAGGGAGGGTGGGGGCGGGAGAGCCTGGAGGAGGGGAGCAGGACTAGCCCGGCTCCGATTTCTCCGGTCAGCTGAGCACAACTTTCCATTCGAGTGTATTCATGCAGTGACTGATTGAGCTCTGCCTGGCCGGGTGGGGCTCGTCTGGGAGGGGACAGGCACAGTCAGGCAAACAGAGGCTATGCCACACACACACACACACACACACACACACATATACCCACTGGCATCATAGACACCCTCACCCCAATCATAAGGTCTAGGCAGGCTGGCCCTGGACCCATAGATCTTCAGGATCTGCTTTTCCTGGCTGCACTGCTACACACATGCACACACACACACACACACACACGGAACTTCTCATCCGTCTTCACCAAACACACTTTCCAAGACACATGAACCTGCCCAAAGCATGTCCAACCCACAGCCCC